AGTAACTTCTGGGGTTCCCAAAGGTTCCATCCTGGGTCCTGTTTTGTTTCTTATCTACATAAACGATCTTCCTGACAACCTTTCATCTAAAGTAGCTCTTTTTGTAAATGTTGTTGGACCTGGACTATCTGCTAAGCTTGAACCTCTTTCCCATCGTCGTAAAGTTGCATCTCTTTCTCTTTTCTACAAATACTATCATGGTCACTGCTCAAAGGAGAAATCATCTCTAGTTCCATCAACGCAAATTCATTTTCGTTTTACTCGTCATTCAGCTAAGTCTCATTCGTTTACTGTATCTGTCCCTGCATGCTCTAAACACTTTTGTTCATCTAGTTTTTTTTCCCGCACTTCAATCCTTTGGAACTCTTTCCCATTCATGTTTTCCTGACTCATACAACCTTCAACTTTTCAAGTCTCTTGTCAACCGTTTCCTTGCCCTATAACTCTGTCCTTTTTTTTCCTAGTAACTCCCAACTTAATAGTGGTTGCTTGCAGCCTTGTTGGGAGTGAATGCAAATAAATGAAAAAAAAAATAAAAATTTCCAAGTCTATTAGGAAGCTAAATTCTTCATGCAGCAAACTTCTTTGTCAAGACTCAGAAAAATGAGCAAGGTAAATTATGTTAAAACGCTTGTCAAGAATTAAAAAAATTGAGCAATGTGAATTGTGTAAAAACGCAATTAAATATTGTAAGTAAAATGAGAAAGAAGCCAAGTACAACAATATGAATATCTTTAAAATTGAAAAAACCTATTGTACCTTAATACTTTTTAAGTAGACCAAAAAAGTTACACATAATCATGTTGAATGCTCCTAAGAATACTAAATCGTTGAATAAATTGTCATTTAAATATTGAGAATTGAATGACAAAAAAATGCATTATAGAAAAAACACTAAGCAATTAATTAAATCTGATTTGGATGTTCTAAATAATTTTAGGTTGATCGCCTGCAAATCAGTATTTATTGATGTGAAATATATATATATATATATACATATATATATATATTTATATATATATATATATATATATATATATATATATATATATATATATATATATATATATATATATATATATATATATATATATATATATATATACATATATATATATATATATAATATATATATATATATATATATATCGATATATATATATATATATATATATATATATATATATATATATATATATATATATATATATATATATATATATATATATATATATATATATATATTAATAAGGAGCGAACACTCTCTGGTTATTTAAAGAGGACATTTAAGCTTGAAAAGGATCTCACTTCTACTACAGCACGAGGCTCTAAGTGATTGATTAACTTTTGTTCCAATAAAGCCCAATTTATTTTCAGCCAATCGTTTTCACAATAATTTAGATCTACATGTTTTCTGATCTATAAAGTACTCAATAAACTATCCGCTCTTAATTTTCTTAGATTAACTCTTACATCTAGTTTTTCTAAGAAACCATAAATCCATTGCACAGTTAGCATCAGATAAGATTGCATTTTTACAGTGATTGACAATTTTTTACTCAGGATTCAATTCAAATTTGTTCCATTATTATATATATATATATATATATATATATATATATATATATATATATATATATATATATATACATACATACATATATATATAAATATATATATATATATATATATATATATATATATATATATATATATATATATATATATATATATATATATATATATATATATATATATATATATATTGTTGTTTATTATTGTATCTGGTTGAGATACAAATCCTCTTGTTTACTTGAGAGTGATCAATATAATGTAAAAATAATTTTTACAAAATAGATCAATATATATATAAATAAAGTGTAATTAAATAGAAAAATACAACTTTATAATGGAACTAAAATTTCATGCCTATCGGCAATCTTCAGCCATATATATTATACAAATCAAGAAAAAACCGTTAAAAAATACAAAATACAAAAAAAGCAGTAGAATGAGTTCCGACGTCAAAACAAAACGAATAAAAAACCGAATAAAAAAGAAGCATAGTTGTAAAACTGCTAATCACCAGTGTCAAATTGGGCAAGAAGAAATTTGTTTTTATGCCGGCACTTAGATAATATTTCACTCTTTTTATTTAACAAATTTGGGTGTTTAAAAAATAAAATTTCGTACTTTTCGTTTAAGCATAAGTTACATCGTTTTGTTACAGGGTTATAGGCATCGCACTGTTTAATTATTTTCCACCTAACAACCGGGTTTAAGTTTTCATCTTTTAATCTCCAAACCTCCTTTGATAATTCAGTGTCATTTTTGTATTTGGGAATTTTAAAAGATTTAATGTGGTTAGCATATCTAATTTTAAAAGATGTTTCGCTTATGCCAATGTAAAATTTATTGATGGGAGATTGAACAAGATTGTTTGAGCATACATTAGCTT